GCGCCTCGGCGGCGGCGTTGCGCGCGTCGGGGGCGGCGCCGGCTTCCAGCAGCAGCGACGCCACCCCCAGCCGGCCCCCGCGCGCCGCCGCGTGCAGCGGGCAGTCGCCCCACGAGTCGCGCGCGTCCACCGCCGCCCCCAGCGCCACCAGCTGCTTCACCTGCGCCACGCAAACCTTTGCTGCGCACTCACAAACGCTTCATGGACTGTCTGACCTCGATATCTCGAAGCGCGTTACGAGTGAAATATATCTTCGACTTACCAAAAATACCAAAAATAATACCTTTTTTTTAAATAGACACGGCAAAATATTATCACTAAATCATAAAATTAATGTTTATTAGTTACAGAAAAAGCGTTTCTCGTCAGATACGGGAACATTTCATTCTTTTTCTTTCAGGTTCAAAACGTGATTCCTCTACTTCGTGACGAATTTTGTCATTGTCTTTTAAAAACGTTGAAAGCATACTTGCAGCAATACCGAATTCCTCTGCAATAGTTTTTTTTCTTTCTCATCCCTTTCACCACTTCACAAATTATTTTAAGTTTTTCATTTAAAGTTAATAATCTGAGCACACGTTCATTCATCTCCGTGATATTTTGAACTAGTTTTTGAGAAAATAATTCTGCTTCCCGAAGAGCTAGTACACGCCTGCGTGTGGTTGTCAAGCCAGCGGGTTGTTGATCTTGGGAGCAACACAAAATTCGCTTATCCAGGCATTCAGAGCGAGCGCCAAGAGCGCAGTGAGCTGTCAGTGTTCCGTGAGAGATGGCTCGGAGGGTCTGGATTTCGAGACGTGAAAACAAACTTCGTCAGTTTCTTTGAGTTAAAATTATGATTTTCACTCACGGGAACAAGACATTATTTCGAGTTATCGAGAAATTCGTGATATGAAATTTAGAGTTTACGAGATAGTTTTACACATAAAATATGTATAATGCGGCCTGGAATGAAAAATTACTTCGAAATATCAAATACTCGAGTTATCGACGTTGGAGTTATCGAGGTTTGACTGTGCACGTTTTTGTGTGTATATAATGAAACAAGAATAAATGATGCATGCATGAAAAATAAAAATAAAATTTTACCATGACGGAGCTAAAAAATAATATTATTTAGCATTAAGAAAAAAATTATTTAAAAATTTGTTAAAGCTAAGTACATCAAAGTTCTACTAAATAACTAATAAACTAGATTTAACCTAAAATTAAGTTAGTTTTATTTATTTTATTTCGTTATTAAGAAAATCCCTTCTCAGCTGCTAAAGCCTAGTAGCTAGGCAGCAGTTTAATGGTAAATAAATTCCCGTCACCTCAGGGGGTGGGGGAGAGAAATGGAGGAGAAATGTTGAAAATAAACATTTTTGTATACCAGAATTATAAAAAACCTTTTCCCCTCCAAGAAATCGTTCATAATAGGGCGTTTTACGGCACGTACGATTGCGTCATCACACATTCAGCCAACCGCAGCGAGAGAATCTGAGGAGGTAACGGCAAACGGAACAGCCGACTAGTTTTCTCGAACATTGTCAAATATCGTTTTGTCATAAGAAGTTGTTTCGCAAAATTATGTTTGATTTTCTTATAAATATATAATGCTGTTATACAAAAATTAAATAGCGTACGCAACTCGTTTATAATGTTGCTTTATTGCTTTCGTACAAATTTGAAAACTGGCTGAAAAGTAGCTCGGTTTCAAACCTTGTACTCATTATAAACTAATTGCATAAGCTACTATATCTTTTAGTTCTATTGCAGTGAGTATATATCGTTTTCAGGCCCATGAAGTGTTCTTCGGAATTATTCACGCAAATAAAAATTATATTCTGAAAGATGTTGGTGTTTTGCTCTCGCTGGATCTGAGACCTCACGTTGGCTTGCGGTCCTCCTCCCACGTATCTTCTCAGTCGGACCATCGCCTCAGCTAAGACTAGCTCTGAGCTTATATTGCGTTTATGCTTGTGCGTACGCATGTAAATCTAAGCGCGCGCGCGCGTGTGCGTGTGTTTATTCGAAAGGGGAAAAGGGGACACTGATGAAGTCTTAGGTCGTCACCATCATCATCATCTAAAATTATGTTGATTTCTAGTTATTGCTGAATATGTTAAAATCTTACCATATCTTTGTAGGGAAATTAAAACAATATTATGGTATAAAAAGTGTAAAATGTATTAGGTACAGTCAAGATAATTAATGAGAAAACATTACAAAGATTTTTAACATTTTACAAACTTGCGTCAATTGTACGATTAGCGTTCACGTCCGTCCCCAGCGACATCTGCTTCATCTGCACCTCACACACTACTTTACTGTAGAGATACAACTCAAATACGAATATCTCGGTAGAAGGGGATAATATTTATTCGAATGGCTGACCCGATAACACCTCGTCGAAAGTTGTGAAATCACCGTCTTGTTGTAGTCTATCGAATGACGAAAGTGGAGGATCAGTATGTACGAAACGTCGACTTCACAGACTTCGACGCGGTGTCTTCCCGCACAGCCCAGAGCATTCGCAAGACCCTGGCTGCGGAAGCCTTCGATGTTAGTATTTATTGTAATCTGACTCGTCGACCTATAAGTGTTGTACATGATGTTTCCCGGGAGATGTCGGCGATCTTCCCCCGCTCGAACACGAGTTCGGGCGCCGACCTACACGTAGACTTCCAGGGTATCTCCTCCAGCGCAACACTGTCCCATCCGCGATAAGCCCTAAGCTTGTGTGTGTACGTAGGGGGAGAAGGAATAAGGATGACGACGTTTCATCATAATATTTGTTGAAGCTTTGTTAAATCCTAGTTATTACTGAATACGTTAAAATCTTGCAATAGTAAATTTTGTAGCGAAACTAAAACTATTTTATTAGTTAATGACAAGTCCAAAACTCAGTAGGTACTCATGGTCATTAATCAAAAAAATATTTCTAATCATCTTTACCATTCTCACCTTAATCGGTGTTAAAGACAAACGAAGTCAAAAAAAAACAAAGTAGAGTAGAACACCATTAATTAGAAGCCCGTTAATTCGAACAAAATTCGGAATAGTGGAAAAATAAACAAAATATGCATTTGCAGAGTAAAGAAAGGATTTTTTAATTACTGTAGAACCGAAAAACTAATTATTGAAACGCAAGTCGAAATGAAACGATTATTGCACTGGTAACTCCGGTGCATATCACATGTTGGTGTAGCAGTAATTTTCATTTAGAGGAACTTGCGAAATCGGTAATCTTTTGCTGTGAAGAACTGAAACTGTGAGACTACGTTGCATTTTGCCACATCGAAATCTATGTTGCGTTGTGTCTGGTAACCCTGTAGATGTATTTCTAATATATTTACAGCACTTTTTTTTTTGATAATAAAAACATTTCCGAATCCGAACAGACCACACTCACAATACGTTCCGAATAACGGGGTTCTACTGAATTATGTTTCAAATAGGTTACTAATCCAAGACTCCAACTTTTTGTTACAATCGTTTCAATATTCCAATTTTGTGCTTCTTAGTTAGTTAGTTAATAAAATAAATAAAATAAATAAAATAAATAAAATAAATAAAATAAATAAAATAAATAAAATAAATGTCTTCTGTTGAGTTCAGAAATATTAATTCCAATTTTAAAACGATGCTTTAGCAATACGGCGGCCCTGGGAAGCGCTACTATGTGCTCGTGTGAAGGCGTCCTAAAAATGAGTGACGCTTCCGTGTAAAGGTGCCAATTAAATTGTTTCCTGCTGCAATGGTGTGCACTGGCTAACCGCCACGGCAGTGGCCTGCCCGCCCCGCGTGAATACCCCCCATTTAAAACGCAATACCGTGCCGGCAGACGCGCTAAAAGGGGCTCTTAAACGTGTTTCTGCGTGGGTGCGCAGCGCTGGGCGGAGGCGCGCCTGCTGCTGGTGGTGGGGCGCGCGTGCCGCCCAGGGAGGAGCGTGCCGAGGCGTGCGGTGGCGCGCCTGCTTGAGCGCGTGCGCGCGCCTGGAGCGAGGCCAACGCGACGGCGAGGGGCGGCGACGGGTGTGCGCAAGGCGCCGACGCCCTGTGGCCGGCGACGGGGGCGTGCGAGCCCACGTGGCCCGTGCTGCGCGTGCAGCCGCCCACCGGCCCCCAGCGCCACGACGCCGAGCCCGGGGCGCCCAGGCGCGCACTCGCGCTGCAAATCGCCGGGCTGGGCTCGAGCCTCACCGATGCACGGCGTACGCCAGGTGCCAGCAAGCACTTTATTTCTTTTATTTATTTATTTTATTTTTTTTTATTTATTTCATTTTTTTATTTTTATTTATTTATTATTTATTTTATTTATTTTATTTATTTTATTTATTTAATTTTTTTATTTATTTTATTTATTTTATTATTTTTATTTATTTT